AAGAAAAAAGAATTCCATTTCGACACATTTCCGGTGCATCAACAAAATTATTTGTTTACAACCTTTTTTGGCCACATCCATTGATATCATATCCAAGACGACCTGATGATGAGCAAAGATCAACAACTTCCTTTTTGGTGCACCATCGTAAAAATAATGATCAATAATATATCGAGCAACACTCCTCGCTTTAGCAATTCCTGTTTCATAATAATACTCAACCAGTCGTTGATGTTTTGTATCATTATCCTAGAGATGAATAATCATTTTCAAAGTTCTCAAAATTTAACTATCGTATCAAGTGCAAATATTTAACTATCGTATCAAGTGCAAATAACACCTGATTAATTGACTTAAGCTCTTCTATAATTAATGACAATTGCCAGGAAAAACCTTAGCGCCACTATATGCAGCCTTCGCTTCCCGCAGTTTACTAATATTTGCGTAAATAGAATCATCCGTCAGATTAACAACTTCTCGTCTTTTCACCGGAAGATCATTTAAGACGTCTTTTTTCAACCTCCTAAAAGAGTTTTCCGACTGAAATTATCGATTTGAAAAAAACCGCTGTCAGAACTTAATAATACATGAAATGAGATATTGGGAAGAATTATCGATTCGAAAAAAATCGTTGTCAGAACTTAATAATGCATTAAATGAGATATTGGGAAGTCTCACCTCAACATGACACTACCGGTTAAGATTATTGCTAATTCGTCACTATTTGTACAGCCTTTCGCTTCAAAGCTATATTTTCCTCGCTTGCCATCACAGTATCGAATTGCAAAATCACGGTAATTTGGGAACATTTTAGAATCGATGATACGAATCTGGCTGAATAGTTCTACTGGACGTGAAAGAGCTGGGGTTCCAGTCAGCAAAATAATTCGTAATGCCTTTTTCTGAATAATTTGATCAGTGATAGAAATGCTGATAAGTAACAAAACATGCTAGAAAGAATAACAAAAGTGTCGTTATGTAAAATAATATCAAAAGTGAATCTAGAAATGGGGGGAAGGTAGAAAACAAAAACGGAAGGATAAATTATAATCTAGTATTTCGCTTTGAATCAATCTGGAAGATTTAAATTAAGAAGCTAGAAAGTCAAATCAAGCTCATATCTTTGAATTTATAGAAAACCTACTGAAATATTCGTCGCAGCTTTGGTCCTTTGAGCATTACTATCTTTCAACAGATGTGATTCATCCTTGAAATTAAATCACACATTAAGAACGAAAAAAAGTAAGAATGTCACAAATCTGAAAAAAACTTGATAGATTTTATTTCAGCTATGCCATTAAGAAGTTTTGAGAAAAATTGAATAACAACTTACAAAAATGATTGCTTTAAAATCGTATTCAACAAGATGAGACTGTTTGGAAACCATCAAATCATAACTCATGATTACCACCGTTTGCTTGGTTTTCTTCACTGGTAAGCGATCGCTTCCTTTTTCAATGATGACGATCTCATCAACATCCGGTAAAAAAACTCTCCAATTGCTAGAAATTTAATCACTAAAATAATAATTTAGTTAATTCCACGGTGAAAAAAAAGTCAAGCTAGCTGATATATACGAGGAAATATATAATTTCCGATTTTGGATGTTGGAAATAAGTATGAGTTTCGATTTCGTTTCCCCATATATGCTATGACTTTTAATTTGGCAACAAAATGGCACACAATGACATGCATACATTCAACCAAGAGAATTTTACAGATGATGGACATATAATAAGCAGAGGCCAATCACATTTAAAATACCGAGCAATACCAAGAGCCTGGATTGATTTACCGAGACCCATTTCATCTGCTAAAAGTAATCGACCTCTTTTCATTACACCATACCTGGAAGACCACAAATTTCAATTTTCTCTAACTTGAAACAAGCATAAAAATTTGTAGCAGATCACTAGCGTATTGTAAGACATACATTACACCTCGACGTTGATATGGAAAAAGCGCATCAACCAATGTTTTTTCAATGTGTTTTTCAAGATTGGGTTCATTCAGGCCAACATTTGATTTACCATAAGTTAACAGTGTCTAGAAGAAAAAAAAATGTAAAGGAAAATAAATTTTTGATAATAAAAAAGGGAAAAATAATAATAAAGGAAAAGGAAGAATTAATTTAACCAAGTTACCTTAACGACATGATCCGAAAATTTCTCAATTTCTAATGAGACATCATCTAGTGATTGCAAGGCTTTTTCGACTGTACAGATATCTTCTAAAGGAAATGACCAAGCTTTTATTTCAGGAAGGTAAACCTTAGATGGAATTGCCTTCAGAATGGAAACAACTGAAGGACTGAATGGAGTGAATTGCACCTGAAATTAAAAAAGAAAAGGAAACAGGTTATTTTCAAATCTATGCATATTATCTACAGATAATGAAATGAAACGAATTTATTCAATCTGAAAGCATACAAAATAATTAAATCAATACATCATCTTATCTTATCTTAAATAACAAAAAGTCCGTTTTCCCTAAGCATTAAGAAAAATAAAAATTTGATTCATATTTGTGATGAGAACGGTATAAAAGCGATAGTTAAACATGATTAAATTGGAAAACTGCAATTTGTACAGTAAATTAGAGAACTGCACACTGTAATTTATACAGTAGCTTACAAATTTTTATGGAAATCCAAAAATATGAAACATTCTCCATGCAAAAGTGATGGAAGAGAAGAAAAACACCTCGTCCCCCTTTTCTTTTTATGCTTCTACCAAACTTATTCCATTTTTTTACTTCTCATTTTCTTTTGATGGTCGCATTTCACGTGCCTTACATGTAAGTGGAAATCCCCGTTATTCCTGAGTATTGCTCATAAAAGTAAAAATTCGATCGAACTATTCCATATGACATTTCAATGCCCACTAACAACTGTAATTATTGCAAAAGAAAAAGTGTTGTTGTCAATTGTGAATGTAACAAACCTGGAAAGATTTAGAATTGATAAGCTTGAAGATAACACTGACAACAGTCTGCTTAAGATGAACAGCTGTGACAACAGGAGGTCGTTTAATAGGTGATAACGGTGATACGTGCAATTGTTTATGATCCGTTTCAATTTTCGATGGAACGGATAGAGTAGATGTGGATGGTTGCTGCTCATCACGATATGTTATGACATACTTCGTAGATGATAATGACTGATCGAATGTAGCTAGAGGAAATTTGGACTCATCATAACTTTTTCCAGTAAACATCTGTAAAGGACTGTTTCCATCTTGAACTGTAACAGATATCTTATTGGATGAATGTTTCGGCTGTAATATCATTTGTACTTTTGAGGTATTATCAGTGACGGAACAAGCATTATCCACTTTTTCCAGTTCTTTTTCTCGTTGCTGCCGTAAAGCCATTCGTCGCATAGCTTCTGCTCGATTACGTTCAATCCGTTTGAGTTGTTCAGCAGTTAATGATGAAGCAGCCATATTGACTTCAACAAACTATAAAACTATATGAATGTATGTTTATTTAAAAAGTGGAAAATAGCCGAAATAAGTGACGATATGTCACTGAGTCAAGTTGAAATAAGTGACGATATGTCACTGAGTCAAGTTTAAACTTAATTTACTGCTTCAGCTATCTACGAACTAACTTTTAACTTTACATTCCAGGGACTGTAAACCCAATCTCATTTCTCATCCCACTCCCTTTTGTTTACAGTAATTTATGCGTTCGATGAAGAACTAATCGAATGAAATGAAAATGTTGACTACAAAAGCAGTTGTAAGTTTGACGCTGACCACTACCATCAACTGAGACACTCCTCAAAAGTAAAATGTTGCCCTATTAGTTACCTTTGCTATATGGATATTCAGTTCTTCGACCTGCATAGCTCCACTCTACCCTAATACCAAGATGTCAAACTTGGATTAATGCAAGGGAGTAATGAGTTATAATATATAAAATAGTTTTATTGACATTTCTATCAATCTTATGGAGAATATTTTTTTTATACGCATTAGGGACGTTTTCTACAATTATGTGAATGAAGTATTGCGATCGTGAAAAATTTTATTCTGCAAAAATAAAACAAAAAAAAAAACAAACGAAGAGAGTACAGTGAACAATCAATCAGCCACCATATTTATTTATGTTTGCAATAGGAATGAATGAAAAGCAATTCCAGAAAACGAATTTCTGGACAATGCATTCCTGAATCTATCCAAATTTGATAAATGTACTAGTAAACGAATGATCCGGAAATTTCATCGCAATAAATTGTAATAGGTTGGAAAGGATAGGAATTATCACTGTTGTTGCTACCATTACATGGTCGCTATTGATCAAAAAACCAAACGACATTATCCCCTAGCACCGGAATGGTAGAAAATAGGATACTAGAGAGATGAGAATTGGGAAAACAGGATACTAGAGAAATGAAAATTGGGGATTGCAAGATGATTGATTCTGGACTTGACCGGTAAAGAAAAAGAAACGAGTAGTCACATAAAATTATAAAAATAATAGAGAAGTATGGAAAAATTCATTCCATTGATTAAAGAATGATAATAGGTCAGAAAAAGATGAACCAAATTTCTGACTGTATTGGGAAAAACATAAATTAATGACAAGAAAATCTTTTAAAACGATTGCAAATGAAGCGACCAGAAAAAGCAGACAATAAACATTTCCGGGAAAACAATAAAGCGAGAAGAAACAAACCAAGAAAATCAAAGAAATGATTAAAAACATTAATGAAAACAATGACCAAACATATAGAGAGAGGCAACCTTAAATTCTAATTTAAGGGATGGAAATAGAGAAGAGTTAATATTGAAAAATTAAAACGCATAAACAGCAAGCGGTAGCAGATGAACGAACTGCGTATTATAAATAATGATGCGTATGGATGAGCAATGATCAGGAAGATGCTTGAAAAATGAAAACTGAGTTACTTGAAATTAAAGTAAAAAGAAACCAAATGATTTCAATTATCCTGTAAGTGCAGTAAACAGATGTGTCACGGAATTTGCAAAACGCATGGTACGGGACTCACTGAAGACGAAGAAACAGTGCTAATCGTATACAAGTTAAACAGTCATGCATGTGAATAAATCCGGCAAATCTCATGGATTCCAAAAGACGACTTCCAAAGAGCCCTAATTTACCTAAATCGTTGCATGACAATATGTAAGGATGAACGAGGATGTACAATGTCGTAATTAGAAGTCATTCTCCTGGATAAGAGAATTTCGATATGCATAAAATTGCAGTCCCAACGATGTAACTAATTTAGGATGGTACCAGTGAAGGTTCACTGTTGTACTGGTATGTAGAAGTTGCGAACATTTCTAACTAAACCATTAACATGCCACTGTTACCATAACAGCTCAATTACACTACCATTAAGATGACAAATAAGATTAATAATGACACTAGTTTGAAATGTCATACCAATTGATGTGCGAACGAAGACATTCTGACCTATGTTATCACAAAGTATTTTCATAATATCAATCCAATACCACACCCGTCCGTCCCTTTCCTATGCTCAAACAAACAAAAATCAAAGTTTGGAAAGCTGTTACGGCAACATCAAAAAATTAGCATAAAACGTATCAAATTTCATTTTTTAGACACAGAAAAAACGCGCTCGATTTCAAGAAAATAAGGATAACAAGAGGATGATTAGAATAAAAAAAAACTTCCGCTGCATGATAAAACTAGTATTGCATGCGTATATACATGCAAAAATCATTAAATGTAAAACATATCGGTAATACTATGATTTCAGCTTTTAAATGTGCCTGAAAATGAGCATTTCATTTGTGTACCATTTACAACCGAATTCGCACGCGTTTATCACGTATGCTTTATTAGAACAAATGCAGATAACTCAAAACTTGTTCCCATCACTTCCACCCCTTCAAGTTTAATTTTGTGCTGAATTAAATTTAATTGAAAATTTCATGCACTGCCCTACTAGGACCTGTTACGCTCACAACACGCTGAGATTGCACGCAGAATTAATCAAAACCTATTCAATGTTTGCTCGAAAAACATTAAGATTCACTCTTTGTTACCTACAAGTGCCTTGTAATGACGGTCGCAAAACGTGAAAGGAAAAATTTGGAAAGGGAAAAGCACAATTTGGAACATTATCTGGTAAATATAACTGCGGGAATCTAAACTATATATATATATATATATATATATATATATATATATATATATATATATATATATATATA